AACTAATTAAGAATACTTCAATCCATAAGTTGTGAATTTAGCTATATACATCGAGAGATACATCTCTCACTGTATATAATATGAGAGATGTGCACCTCTTGTTGTATATTCGCTAAGAGAGACATACTTCTCATTGTATATGCACACCTTGGCTTCTGTGCAAAATTACATGCTTTAAATTGTATTTATATACCTTGGTGTAAATACTTCGAAACTCATACATATTGTATATACATTGAGACATGCCTCTCGGTGTATATATACTGAGATACAAGAAAGTGTATATTTACAAACACACTTCTCTGTGTATATTTGTAGATACATCTCATTGTGCCTATACTGAGAGATATATCTGTGTATATCCTCTAAAATATACACACGCACTGTATGTACACACACACACACACACACACACACACACACACACACACACACACACACACACACACACACACACACACACACACACACACACACACACACACACACGCGACCCTTGCAACCACAATTAAGCGAGTACAATTAGGTAAGTCCACACACACACAAACGCTGTCTTGAATATAAAATGGCGGCTGCAGTGTGGTGTTGGTGGTGTTCTTCACAGATCTACTAGTGGACTTCTTGCATGTTAACAACTTGCTAATCTTTAGTTTCACATGTTTAAACAGCCTTCACCCCCCTCCCCCCGTATTAACTTGTTACTTGCCAAGTTCCACAACTCACTCGGTTTTAGAACATTTATATTCACCACAGCTCTGCCTGGTTCCAGTTTTCACTGAAAGGTTTCCAGTTCAGTCTGCCCTAAGATGTTCACAATCCAGTCTTCGCTAAAAGGTTTCTAGTCTTCCCTGAGAGGTTTCCAGTCTTCCCTGAGAGGTTTCTAGTCTTCCCTGAGAGGTTTCCAGTCTTCCTTAAGAGGTTTCCAGTTTTTACTGAGAGGTTTCCAGTCTTCCCTGAGAGGTTTCTAGTCTTCCCTGAGAGGTTTCCAGTCTTCCCTGAAAGGTTTCCAGTCTTCCCTGAGAGGTTTCCAGTCTTCCCTGAGAGGTTTCCAGTCTTCCCTGAGAGGTTTCCAGTCTTCCCTGAGAGGTTTCCAGTCTTCCCTGAGAGGTTTCCAGTCTTCCATGAAAGGTTTCCAGTCTTCCCTGAGAGGTTTCCAGTCTTCCCTGAGAGGTTTCCAGTCTTCCCTGAGATGTTTCCAGTCTTCCCTGAGAGGTTTCCAGTCTTCCTTAAGAGGTTTCCAGTTTTTCCTGCGAGGTTTGCAGTGTTTTTGGAGTCATGACAAGAGTGGTGGGTGGAGAGGCGCGGGTTCACTGTCAGCTGCTCCAAAGTTTAGTCTCGGTTAACATAAAAATGTTGTGTTTTTGGTTTCCATGGCCAAGACCATTTCCATCCCTTCCTCTCTTAATTCTTCTCCCTTACGGCTCCTCCCTTCTTTCTTCCTCTTCTTTCATTCCTTCCTTGCCTCATCCTTTCTTTCTCCCTCTCTTAACACTCCACATTTGTTCTTTTCTTATTCCTTTCATCTTTTTATCCTTTGCTGCTTCTCCCTTCCTTTCATTCTTTCACTTTTTTCCTTCTCTCCTTTTTCCCTTCCCTCTTTTTTCCATCCTTTCCTTATTCTTTCCCCTTCTCTTCTCTTTCCCACTTCTTTCCGTTTCATTTCTCATTTTTCCCTTCTTCTACCATGTCATTTTTAAGGCAGTCTGCCCATACTTCAAACAGGAACATGAACAAAAACATAACCGAACCTACATATAGAGAGTAACCCTATGTTTGAACCTCAGACTGAGAGGTTCTTGAGCGGCCGAGTTGCCATGTACAGGTGAAGACAGGAGAGGGTCATCTGATGGACCAGTTCATGCACCATCTAATGGACCAATTCATTCAGCATGTAATGGACCAGTTCATGCACCATCTAATGGACCAATTCATTCAGCCCAACACAGACTTATAAAAAAAGGGATAAGAAAAACCAAAAGATATTATGAAATTATAGTTGCAAGAAACTTAAAGGCCAATGCAGAGGGTTTCTTTCATGTATAATGACCAATTCAGAGGATTTCATGTATAAAGATGAATGCAAAGAGGTTTGTTTCATGTATAATGACCAATGAAGAGAGTTTTCTTCAAGTAACTCAGGTCACTGGAAGCAAGAAGATACAATGAAATTCTAGTAATGAGTAATTATACAGGACAGGATGAAGTTCAGTGCTGCAGAGTGACAGTCACCTGTGACATGATCCTCAGACTTCTAGTGACAGTCACCTGTGAGGCGATCCTCAGACTTCTAGAGTAACAGTCACCTGTGAGGCGATCCTCAGACTTCTAGTGACAGTCACCTGTGAGGCGATCCTCAGACTTCTAGAGTGACAGTCACCTGTGAGGCGATCCTCAGACTTCTAGTGACAGTCACCTGTGAGGCGATCCTCAGACTTCTAGAGTGACAGTCACCTGTGAGGCGATCCTCAGACTTCTAGAGTAACAGTCACCTGTGAAGCGATCCTCAGACTTCTAGTGACAGTCACCTGTGAGGCGATCCTCAGACTTCTAGAGCGACAGTCACCTGTGAGGTGATCCTCAGACTTCTAGAGTGACAGTCACCTGTGAGGTGATCCTCAGACTTCTAGAGCGACAGTCACCTGTGAGGCGATCCTCAGACTTCTAGAGCGACAGTCATCTGCGAGGTGATCCTCAGACTTCTAGAGTGATAGTCACCTGTGAGGCGATCCTCAGACTTCTAGAGTGACAGTCACCTGTGAGGTGATCCTCAGACTTCTAGAGTGACAGTCACCTGTGAGGTGATCCTCAGACTTCTAGAGTGACAGACACCTGTGAGGTGATCCTCAGACTTCTAGAGTGACAGTCACCTGTGAGGTGATCCTCAGACTTCTAGAGGGATGAAAAATAAGCTACCAGGCCAAGACGAGCTGCATTAAACGGCTTATAATTAATGTAAAGAGGAACTTGATAAACCATTAGCAAGTCTTCAGTAAATCACTGAACGGTAATTGTGTAGAAAATGGCAAATGTGACACTTATTTACAAACCGAGAGATAGATCCTTACTGCTAATTATAGACCAATTATCTCTGTTGGAATCATTTGTGAATTCAATTTGAAATCACCTTGAAATACATGATTTAATCACTGAATCTTAACACGGTTTTACAAAGGGGTTTTCTTGCCTGACAAATTTACTAACTTTTTTCACTTAGGTATATAAGGCATTGGGCCGCAATATAGAATATGACATTGTGTATATGGACTACATAGAGCTCCACACGAGACTAATAAAGGTAGCTGTACACGGCACTGGAAAACTTTTATCCTGGTTCCATACATAGGCAAAAGAGTTTGTATAAATGGAAGGAAATCAGAATGAAGACCCATTAAAGGTGCTGTTACACAGTGTTAGGTCCCTTGTTCACAACACGTAACATTCACGAGAGGAACATATATAACGACACAAGTAAATCTGCCGATGACAAAAATAGGCAGCCAAATAATTTCTGAAGGCACCGGGGTACTACAGAATAATTTGACTAGGTTGATGTAATCGGAAAAGTGGTAGATGCAGTTTAATGTAGACGAATGTGAAGGTACCTATAAACTAAATAATATAGAACTTAAGAAAACCGAATTCCATAATAAATAATATAGAGCTTAAGAAAACCGAATGCCATAATTACCCGGGAGTTCTGGTTATCAAATATCTGAAGCTAAGACAACAGTGCGTAAGTATTGGCTTAATATCAAGAACTATAAATAATAGAAGACCCGGGACTATGTATATCGTTGATAAAGTCTCAAGATTATGCTGCTCACTTTTAGTCTCCGTATTACAGAATGAACATAAATATACAGGAGAACATACACACAAGAATAACAAAGTCAATCTGATGTATAAGAAACCCTTAGATACTGTAAGTTGAAAACTGAATTTACACACACTGACGTTGGAACGAGAGAAATGATTGAAGTGAATAAGTAGAAAAGTGGAATCACTAGAGATATAAATAAAGGTCTGAAAATATCTTAATAATGATAGGACTCGCAGTAAACGAATCGCGGTGAATAAATATACATTAAAAAGTATATAGGAAACCACCAGTTTGATGACAGTACAATTATGAACCAGTTATCAGGTAGTGTCAGTCAAGCGAGAAGTACAGTTATGAACCAGTTATCAGGTAGTGTCAGTCAAGCGAGAAGTACAGTTATGAACCAGTTATCAGGTAGTGTCAGTCAAGCGAGAAGTACAGTTATGAACCAGTTATCAGGTAGTGTCAGTCAAGCGAGAAGTACAGTTATGAACCAGTTATCAGGTAGTGTCAGTCAAGCGAGAAGTACAGTTATGAACCAGTTATCAGGTAGTGTCAGTCAAGCGAGAAGTACAGTTATGAACCAGTTATCAGGTAGTGTCAGTCAAGTGAGAAGTACAGTTATGAACCAGTTATCAGGTAGTGTCAGTCAAGCGAGAAGTACAGTTATGAACCAGTTATCAGGTAGTGTCGGTCAAGCGAGAATGTTGGGTAGCCAGGATAATATACCGAACAGATACAAGATTGACTAGGACCTGCCAGGCATGGGTTAGTAGACCTATAATGCTCATTTATTCTTGGTACGTTTAAGAGGAGCTTAGTGAGAGGTCTTATTTAAGAGATTATTGTTGTTTTAAGAGGAGCTTAGTGAGAGGTCTTATTTAAGAGATTATTGTTGTTTTAAGAGGAGCTCTGTGAGAGGTCTTATTTAAGAGATTATTCTTGTTTTAAGAGGAGCTCTGTGAGAGGTCTTATTTAAGAGATTATTCTTGTTTTAAGAGGAGCTCTGTGAGAAGTCTTATTTAAGAGATTATTGTTTTAAGAGGAGCTCTGTGAGAGGTATATGTATACAGTGCTTATCTTGTGTGTTGTTGTTGTTGTTGTTGTTGTTGTCAATCCGTTTGTGCTGTTGCTCACTTTTTATTACACTTTGTTTAGTAAAAAATTTTCTTTTTCTCAGGTAAGTGGGAGATCCAGGGAGTGTAAGACCCTCACAGACAGGTGAGTGTAAGACCCTCACAGACAGGTGAGTGTAAGACCCTCACAGACAGGTGAGTGTGAGACCCTCACAAACAGGTGAGTGTAAGACCCTCACAAACAGGTGAGTGTAAGACCCTCACAAACAGGTGAGTGTAAGACCCTCACAAACAGGTGAGTGTAAGACCCTCACAAACAGGTGAGTGTAAGACCCTCACAAACAGGTGAGTGTAAGACCCTCACAGACAGGTGAGTGTAAGACCCTCACAAACAGGTGAGTGTAAGACCCTCACAGACAGGTGAGTGTAAGACCCTCACAGACAGGTGAGTGTAAGACCCTCACAGACAGGTGAGTGTAAGACCGTCGCAAATAGGTGAGTGTAAGTCCCTCTCAAACAGGTGAGTGTAAGACCGTCACAAACAAGTTGAGTGTAAGACCGTCACAAACAAGTTGAGTGTAAGATCGTCACAAACAAGTTGAGTGTAAGACCGTCACAAACAAGTTGAGTATAAGACCGTCACAAACAGGTTGAGTGTAAGACCGTCACAAGCAAGCTGAGTGTAAGACCGTCACAAACAAGTTGAGTATAAGACCGTCACAAACAAGCTGAGTGTAAGACCGTCACAAACAGGCTGAGTGTAAGACCGTCACAAACAAGTTGAGTATAAGACCGTCAAAAACAAGTTGAGTGTAAGACCGTCACAAACAGGTTGAGTGTAAGACCGTCACAAACAGGTTGAGTGTAAGACCGTCACAAACAGGTTGAGTGTAAGACCGTCACAAACAAGTTGAGTGTAAGACCGTCACAAACAGGTTGAGTGTAAGACCGTCACAAACAGGTTGAGTGTAAGGCCGTCAACAACCTGAGTGTGGTATCCAGAGAGAGAGAGGGTGGGGTGGGTAGGCAGGTGCATGTATGTCAGAGTACACTTGTGGTAGTCACACAGGTGAGAGACTAACATAGTTACCTGGGTAGTATTATTGTCATGTATCTTGCTAGCAATATCTCTCAACAATGCTGAAGTTTGTGTTGATAGAAATACTGTATTGCAACACTGGCGTCTTGGACAAGGAAAACACTTACCTTTCGTAAATCGTTCCTTGTGAACTATCATGTTCAAGGTGTGAACTGTTATGTTCGTCGTGTGTACTGCCATGTTCACCGTGTGTACTGCCATGTTCACCGTGTGAACTGTCATGTTCACCGTGTGTACTGTCATTCGCCCTGTGTAATGTTATGTTCACTATATATACTGTCATGTTCACGGTATGTACTGTCATGTTCACCGTGTGTACTGTCATGTTCACCGTGTGTACTGTCATGTTCATAGAAGGTGGCACTTAATGCCATAGAAGGTGGCACTTAATGCCGTAGAAGGTGGGACTTAATGCCGTAGAAGGTGGCACTTAATGCCATAGAAAGTGGCACTTAATGCCGTAGAAGGTGGCACTTAATTACATAGAAGGTGGCACTTAATGCCGTAGAAGGTGGCACTTAATGCCGTAGAAGGTGGTACTTAATACCGCAGATGGCTCTTAATGCCGTAGAAGGTAACACTTAATGCCGTAAAGGTAACACTTAATGCCGTAAAGGTAACACTTAATGCCGTAGAAGGTAACACTTAATGCCGTAGAAGGTGGCACTTAATGCCGTAGAAGGTAACACTTAATGCCGTAGAAGGTAACACTTAATGCCGTAAAGGTAACACTTAATGCCGTAGAAGGTAACACTTAATGCCGTAAAGGCAACAATTATGCCGTAGAAGGTAACACTTAATGCCGTAGCAGGCGGCAGGTTGCCCACACTTGGTGTAGTAGTTGTGTGAGGCAGGAGCGACCTGCTCTCATAGGAAGACTAGTTGTGAGGCAGGAGCGACCTGCTCTCATAGGAAGACTGGTTGTGTGAGGCAGGAGCGACCCGCTCTCATAGGAAGACTGGTTGTGTGAGGCAGGAGCGACCTGCTCTCATAGGAAGACTAGTTGTGTGAGGCAGGAGCGACCTGCTCTCATAGGAAGACTAGTTGTGTGAGGCAGGAGCGAACTGCTCTCATAGGAAGACTAGTTGTGTGAGGCAGGAGCGACCTGCTCTCATAGGAAGACTAGTTGTGTGAGGCAGGAGCGACCTGCTCTCATAGAAAGACTGGTTGTGTGAGGCAGGAGCGACCTCCTCTCATAGGAAGACTGGTTGTGTGAGGCAGGAGCGACCTGCTTTCATAGGAAGACTGGTTGTGTGAGGCAGGAGCGACCTGCTCTCATAGGAACACTTGAAAGACTACACTTGATGAAATACATATAACCAAGGAGGAGGTGAAGAAGCTGCTGTGCGAACTTGACACCTCAAAGGCGGTGGGACCAGACAACATCTCTCCGTGGGTCCTTAAAGAGGGAGCAGAGATATTGTGTGTACCATTAACAAAGATCTTCAACACATCATTTGAAACTGGGCAACTCCCCGAGGTATGGAAGATGGCAAATGTAGTCC